TAATCTGGAGGTTTTGGTTTTAGACCCATAAGATGTACAGTGGTTCACCAAATGCTCATTGCTTCTTAGATATGGTTTTCAATACTAGTAAGTTCTTAGCTATGGTTTTGTCTTGTATAGCTGTTGCCAACAGTCTCTATTTCTATACATTCTATACAATCATTGAAACTGTAGGAAAGTCTGTGAGAAAGATATTAACAATGTATAATTCCATCTCTTCACTAATCTTGTATGTATCTAATGAATAATCAATACATTTCTTCAAGGATCCAGATTGTGTGTCTCAATAAATTGAAATTAAATATGCGAACTGATACTGAATTGGGAGAAGTGAATTTGTAAATATAGAGCGTCACATTTTCCAGGTAGGATAAATGCAGTTTCAAGTTAATTGGAATTCAGATTCAAACTAATAAATTCAGATTCAGTTTTTTAATGCAACAACTGCAGATTCAAATAAACACTATTCATACTGTATTCAGTTTCTAGTGGCACAAATATCAGCCCATATTTAACCCACAAATGATTGTGAACACTTTTTATGCTGCTAATTTCAAATTGCTGTGATTGATGGGACACAAAGGAAAAAGCAAAAAAACACATCACATCCATAATCTACAAAACCCAGCATATCCATCCATCCATCCATCCATTTTCTGCCACTTATCTGGGGTCGGGTCATGGGCAGCAGTCTAAGCAGGGATGGCCAAACCTCCCTCTCACCAGCTGGGGGGGATACCAAGGCGTTCCCAGGCCAACCGAGAGATATAAACTCTCCAGCTTCTCTTGGGTCTGCCCTGGGGCCTCTTCTCTGTAGGACATGCCGGAAACACCTCCCCAGGGAGCCGTCCAGGAGGCTTCTAAGATAGATGCCCAAGCCACCTCAGCTGGCTCCTATCGATGCAAAGGAGCAGCGGCTCTACTTTGAGTCCCTCCAGAAAATCTGAGCTCCTCACCCAATTTTCAATGCTGAGTCCAGACAAAGAAGGCTGATGAAGAACTGTGAGGACGTACCCCAGGCATCTGTGAACTTTACCCAGTCTGGCATGCTCAACATAAACACACTGGCCTTTCTCTCTCCCTGCAACTCCTGGAAGGAGCCCTTCATTTCTCTCTCAGCTTCTTCTTTTCTCTGTCCCAGAGCTCACTTGGCTTGATATATTTAATCTGTCCCTTCTGTTTTCTTATCCATGGTATCCATTATCCAGGTGCCATTATAATGGTTCCAAAAAGCCATTGTGTGTACTAAACTTGAGCTGCATTGCGTCATGTATATAAAGGGAATCTCCACTAGGGGGCACGAGGAGTATTAGGTTATGCTTGGCAAACATTCCTTCGGTGTTTTGGGAACTTTTTCCGGCAACCAGACCAGATTCGCCCATTATACTTGAGGTGGATGCCTCTGAATTAGATGTTGGTGCTGTTGACACTATGAATTGAACTTGTATGGCATTGTATCATGTGTTTTAACAGTGAATTTGCCTGGAGCGGAAGAGGGTGCAAAGCTTACCTCCGGTCAGTGGAGGATGCTACGTGCTGCTGTGGTGGTTCTGAGGTGTAGCCGATAGGACAGTCACAACAGGTCCTTTCCAAAGGGCTCCTACAGCCTCTCCCTACCCACTTCCACTATGTTTGCGTATTCACGTTTAGGGTCCATCACATTAAATGCCATTCCAAACCAATTAGGGTAAAGTGAATGCAGGCTATAGAATGTTCCAACACCGAGTCAACATCGATGCTGACTTAGCGACAATATGTAATGCGTTTTGTGTTTGGTATGGAAAACAGTCCATGCAAACATTTACTCATTACTAACATTACTAAATGGTCATTAAAATAAATTAAAAGTGTTATTAAAAATAACCTAATAGTGGATTTGACAAAAACCATAGCAGAATCTAAAACTGAGTTTTTAATTTAGGCTTAAATTCATCAATAGTAGTGCAGGACTTAATGCTGGATGGGAGGCTATTCCATGGGCCTTGAGAGGGCGGGGCGTCTGTCCGTCTGAGGGGGCGTGTTCCGTGGAAGTGACATCATGCATGCCATCCGCAAAGTA